GAAACACCTAATTTTTTCCAACAGGACCTTTGGATCAATATTCATGGTATATTCGGGTAGAATGGTACAATGTTAAGAATGTATGCTCTGAGATATTTTGTGACGGATCTATTTACAATGGAAAAAAAAATATGGCAAAAATAGTGGTATGAGGCTGCTTATACACAACCAAATACCTCACAAAATTTGGTTTCTTGGTTTGGAGCTTTAGGATCATGGTTCTGTGCAATACTCCAGTAAAATGGCCTAAAAACATAAGCAGTGTTTCTGCTCTACCTCCCACTTCACTTCACTGTGCCCGGGGCCATAGAATCTTCAAGCAGTCATCTAATTGGTTTCTATTTACCTGGAGAACAAGAAAGAGTAGTTAGGATACAGAGATAACTATGGGATATGTAGCTAACTGCCAGTCTCCTTTGCCAAGAGACCAAAGAACCATATCTAAAAAAAACCAAAAAAAACAACCAAAACACAAAACCACCTCCGATGCGAGTCAGGACCAACTCAGAGCTGACCCACCACTGGGTTTCCAATGTCATCAACTGCACAGAAGAGGGCCCACCTCGCTTCCTTACATCAGCTGGTGAATTTGAACCACAGAGGAATGCAGTCTTGAGATTAGCAGTGCAACTCCCTACCAGTTAGGCCACCTGAGCTCCCTAAAGAACTGGATACTATCTATTATTATTTTTAAACATTTAAATCAAAGAGTTGACGGAAAAATCTTGATCAAAAAGAGGGAAGATAAAAACAATTTCAAATAATGGAATCCACCATTTCTGTAGCCGTGGTGGCTGGATGAACCCCTGAAACTATAGTCTTCAGAATAATCTTTAAACTTAACTAAAAATACCCCTCCAAAGTCTTCTTAAGACCAAGCAACAGTTTAGCTTAACTATTAAAGAATGTCTGCCGTGAGCCTTAGACTCTTAAGATGTATCTTTAGGGAACAAAATTAAAAACAGCCACTTGAAAGATTAGATGGGAACCTTGGGAGGCAGTGAATTTATGTTAAGAATAACTCAGAAAAGTAGGATAAGAGTGGCGTACAACCTAAAGGATGTAACCAATGTCACTGAATTGTACATGGAAACTGCTAGATCGGTGTGTGTTAGCTGTGTGTAGTCTCAGTAACAATAAAAAAGGAAAGAAACTTTTAAAAGTATGTGTTATGCTCTGAAATCAAGAGGCTCTAGATTTAAATTATAATCCTGAGTCTACACTCAGGAAGGAAAGAAAAACAGTAATTCCCTCAAAGGGTTGTGATGAAGTGTAAATGAGACTGTATGAGGAAGGCACAGTGGTAGCACATATTAAATGCTCGAGAGATCAGCTTAAGTACTGAAAACTCAAGATACCTGTACGGTTCTAACTACCAAGCACTACAACTCAGCACAATTCACCGCACACACCATATGGCCTTCTACTCTCACAGTAGCACACTGAACTAAAAACGGAGGTACAGAAAAACTAGGAGATAGTCCCTACTCTCCAGAAGGTTTCACGGAGGTGACAAAGCATGGCACGCAACAGGTACTCCCAAAATATTAGTGAAGCAAGGAGGAAAACAGCACACGACATAAAAATATATAAACAAGTAAAAATAACAAGAGTTGTAAGAGCTATTCACAAGTACAGAATAAGGAGACTCAACAGTCTCCTGCTACTTGAAAATCTCTGGGAAAATATTAATACTGTATTTACCATGAACAATGTGTGAGTCAAGGATGACTAAATTTTACTTCCATAATCAAAGTCATACCTTAATCAGAAAACACCAGATCTTTCCCCTCCTCGAGTTGAATGTACTAAATTGGGGAAATCTGGCGTTTAGTCACGGTCACTGAAGGAGCTGGAGCAAAACCAGCTCCGTTTCTTCAGGCTGTACTTCTTGGAGGTCATGTTGAACAACTAACCGGGATGCTTCTGGTGGTACAAATCGTTATTTCTCTCTTCGATATTACCTAAGAGCAACGCTTTTTCTATCCTTTATCTTATTCTTGTAATGGTAAAAGCTGCTATTTTGAAGCTATTCTCCAAAAAGGTTAGTTGGAGGGAACTTTTAATCAGAGGCCCTCTCACTCTGGTGGGAAGACTGGGAAAGGTGTTCTGTGGCCCCTCCACCTCACTCTAGCTCCTACCCTCCTGGCCCCCAGTCCCTCGCACACTCACATTAGTTCTGCTTACAGACGCACTGCCGGCGCACGCCCTCGCCCTCGCCCTCCCCCTCCAATCTGAAGGGAAAGCAGGCAGCAGTCTTGGAAAGAGTTACTTCATCCAGTTGGCTAATGGGTCACATATTCCACGGGAAAGGATCCAGGTACAGAAAAAGGGGGGCGGATAGGCCTTCTGTGTAAGGAGAGAGTAAAGAATATTAACTATAAGGTTTGTAGGTCTGGGTAAAGAGTGATAAAACACTAGTTGTGGGGTGAAAGGAGAATATTTTCCCCATTATGGCCACATGTTGCTGGCTCTCCTCATGGCTGCTGGCATCTTCCCAGGCTTCTGTCTGGCACCTACAACCAAATACCTAAAAGAATCAGGCTCATTCCAAAGCTGCTCTGAGGGGGGCTGGGGTAGGAGGGCAAAGGGTCCTGCCAAGTCCTTTGATCTACGCAGGGGGTCTCTAGGGATTCAGCCCAGGGAGAGGTGGGAGGGAGAAGAGGCTCTCATGTGGCCTGCCAAATGCATTCTCCAAAGACTTGTCACCCTTTATGAGGTTCAGGGAAGAGGGAGCGCAGGGTTCTCAGTCCCACCAAGCAGGGTGTCATTTCTACTCTTTATGATGTCGGTTCCAAAGTAACAAATCACTGGGGGGGAAAATAATATTCCATAAGGAAAAATGTCTTAAGAAGATAAAAAGCCCCCTTTTCAACCACAGCTGACTTTGAGCAGCAGTTCCATTTGCTGGTGAAAACTCCAATCTGCAACATCATCCACGAGAGTCAGGCAACACTGTAGCTACTCCCGGCAAAGAGCTTTCAGACAGGGGTCGTCAAACCAAGTGCAGAGCAGAGACAAGAAAAAAGACATCCAGGGTACAAGATGAGGGCTCACATCACAGAAGAGTCAGGGAAGGCAACAAGAAGGCTGCAGTCTGGACCCACGGCAGCAGGAGGGACTACGTGAGAACCAGATCCCATATTTATTCAGTGCTACCGGTCTAATCATCAGTAACGACTGGTTACGTTTCAGTCCTGACTTCATGTAAGGGTTTTCTAATATGAAAGACCCTTCACACAGTTTCTGCACATACAGGAAATAACTCAAATAATGTGAAAGACAGACTTAGGGAATTTAAAATAGAGTATTGACCCCACACACATACGTGTGTGTACACACACAATGTATCTACTTCCCCCTTTCCTTAGTTCCATTAAAAGGACAGAAAAGATAGTTATAGAAGAATAAAATGACTACAGATAAAAATATAATAGTTAAAGGGGTCAACAAACAAGACTTTTAAGCAAAAATTTAACAAAATCCTCAAAGATAAAAAGCAGATGGGATCAGGCTGAGAAAATACTGCAGAGGAAACCTCAGGCCAAAATCTAAGAGCTGAGAGTGATCTTCCCAAAGCAGCCTCTGAAAAGCTCCAAGGTTGACAGTCAACAAAGGTGAAGTGCAGGAGCAGGGCGCCAAAGAGCCTCGAGAAACTATTAAGTGGACAAAGAACGTGTGTGGCAGGTGGGCCAGCGTGCCTTCGCTACCACCCGAAGGCTCAGGACAAGACCTAAGGATGGTGCTCTCTCCCGGAATACTGTGTGTTCACCTGGAGGTCTGAGGAGAGTGGAATTTGAGGCCACTCTATCCCTGAGCCTTGGCAGAAGCATCTGTGCTAACAACCCAAAGGCTGGTCTCTCATCATGAGAAAGACAGGCCATCACCTCCTGCGCCTCCGGCAGCTTCCAAAACCCCCTAGAGGGTCAGTTGTATCTGACTTGAAAGTGATGAGCTTGAGGGGTTTTACCCCTATTCCAGACACAAAGGGGAGACGAGAGGAGAGGGCACGAGCGACGCGGAGGGAGCACACTCCTCCCCATGCCCACCTAACGTGCAGCTGGGCAGTCAACATGCTTCGCCCTTGCTGCTCGGCAGAACGGTCCTGCACCACAGCAAACTGAGGCCATTTCCATCAGTCTGCTCTCGGTTTATAAATACAGATCACCACAATTGAGAACAGTTAATAGGGAAGGAAGGCGATTTATGATGAATAAACAGCTTTAAACTGGAGGAAGAGCAAGTGGGGACTTTTAAAAAATGTCCCTTGGGATCCTCAGAAAGATCAGCAAATTGCAGCCAATAAACAACAATCAAGGTCAAGCTCACTGCTATCATTTAATGCTTGCCATTGTTACGAATCTGAACTGGCTCAATGCTGATCCTCCAGCAGGTTTTCAGAGGTGCTAGATCACACAAGAGGAGACTGCCCATCCATCTCCCTCAGAGCAGCTTGTGGATTCGAACCACATGCCTTTGGACTGGCAGCACAATTCCTTGCCACTAGACCACCAGAGCCCTTGGGCATTATGAAATTTATTCTGCTTCATAGAGACTCCACTGCCCCATAGGGCATCCTAGGCTTTAATCCTTATGGGAGTGGACTGCCTAGTCTTGATCCCCCCACAGACCTGCTGGGGAGGTAAAATCCAGCAACCTTCTGGTTAGCTGCTGTGCACGTAACCACTACACAACCAGGGCTAATTCGTGCTTAGTGCTGAAGAACAATCCTAACAGTATGTGAAAACAGACTATGTCCTCTCTATCGGCTGGTTCCAAAGGCTCCCCTCCCCCAATATTTGGTCAAATGGTCTTTTAGCCATGGTGTACCTCTTGGCCTGAAGTGATGAGTAGCCCCCCTTTATCCCACCCTCAAATCATACTTCCAAATATACATTTCAGAAGGAAGCACCTGCTCTTAATAAGAGAGGACCATTTATACACAGAGAAAAGGGGGAAGAACAAACAAGGAGAGAGCAGGCCACCTGCTGCATACTTACATTGTTGATCAGGTAGACACCCCGCCCCCTAGAGGAGGCCACTGGTTTTACTATCCAAGGTCCCCGGTCCTTTGAATACGAATCTGCTCAAGATATTAGGAAGGGAAGAAGCAGGAGAAAGAGACAAAAGAAGGGATATGAGTTTATGCATCATCTCAAAATTTCAACCATGATTATATACTCAGGTCCCCAAGGTACGTTCCAAATAGCAGCTAAAGAGATCCTGGACTGGACTTAAAAACAAAGAGAAAGAAGAGGATAGCACAAATGCATTCTTTCTTCCACCATTTCTCTTCTGAATAATTACTTACAGATGGAAACAAAATAAGCCAGGTGTCCAGCTGTCAGCACCCTTCACAGCATCTCCCCTCCACTGACTGACAGGCCTCCAGGATTCACAGCAGTGACCGTGTCAGCCAAGAGCTCAACCTACGTACTTCCCAGTAGAGCTCCTTTCCCCAACAACTCCTCAGAGCTTACAGGGAAAGATTCATTTAACTCAACAACGTGCACAGGGAGAGGAAGATGCTAACTTACAGGTGATCCCTTCCTGTTTCACATTTACAGGTTAACTACCTTTGGACCATGGGAAGGGAAGCCAGTCAGCTAAGACTCCCAATAGGCTTGCAGGTACTGACCGCTCAGGGACATAGAACAGGGCTCTGCTCTCCTCTCAGGGCAGGTCTGGAGGACGATGGAGATGAGTAGGGACAGCGGACTTGGGGCTGCTAAGTCTTCCCAGCCCAGACTGGAGAGAGTGGTTAACTAGTCCTTACTCAACTGTGTGTTTTATGGTTTTGATGAAAATACCTCAGACAGCAGCAGAGGGTGCTGTTTCAAAGTAGGAGAGAGAGAGAGAAAAAAAAATAGATAAAAATTAGGAGATTTATTCAATTTCTTAGTTTTTCTTCTTTGCAAGAAGAGACACAAGGAGTGACTGCATGAGAGGAGGAAAACTAAGCAAGTGAATGTCATTTATTAAGAACCTGCCAGGAACCATTCCAAGTGCTTTCCACTGAGTACTTACACATTGGTAAGCACTGAATCAACCCATAAGAAGGTATGTTGAAGTCCTAAATCCCATGCAAATGAATGCAACTTTCTTTGGAAAAAGAGAGGGGTTTTGTTTTTTTTATCCTTTGCAGATGTTAAACTAATGTAGTCACATCTTTCTTATCCTGATCCATTCTCAGTGCTGTTTTCTAAAAGAGAAGACACTGCAACAGTCACACAAGGAGAAGACATAGATGCCAGACATATGACAACAGGATTGCTGACAGCCACCAGAAATGAGGAAACGATACGGAACAGTTACTCTCACAGCCCCCAGAAGGATCCAACACAGCCAAGACCCTAGGCGAACTTCCAGCCTCCAGAACTATGAGAAAACGAACCTCGGTTCTTTCGTATTTTGTGATGGCAGCTCTAGAAAACTAAGGCAAACATCCTGAACACTGTGAGGTCTGAACTTGTAAGAGTCTGGCTTCAGAGATGACAAAGCGAGGAGGCATGGATTAATTAAGGACTAAAGTCACATAGTAAAACTGCTCCACAATTTCAAGTATTTCTAATGATTTACGCACTAAAGCTTTGAAGTGTACATTTGCATGAATGCTCTAGTCTGACCCATCTTGGAGTCTTCGAGGGTTAAACACTGATTTGTCAAACACAGTTTCAAATGGACCTATAAATTCTATTAGGGAACCAGCCTCAACAAGGCAGAAACAGGATACCTTCCCCAAGGAAAGAATACCCCACTGGGTGGCCAGATCAAAACTTTAGGCCTAAAAAGTTAAAAGAACCAAAAATCTCACCAGGTCTAGAGGGAATTCTTGTTTCCTCTTTCCATGAACTCTCTTTATAACACAGGAATAGTCCACCTCTTAGATATACTGAGAGAAAAAAATGATCTCTAAGTCCATACTCTCTGGGTATCTTCTATCTGATCCTCTTTATGGGAGAAGTGATGTCTGCCATAAAGTGATTTCTCTCGCTGGCAACAATGGAAAGACGGTCAAGGAATACACAATGCCCCATGCCTTGAGCAATGAAGCACCTGCTAAAGCTTTATTTAGTGGTTAAGAGAATGGTCTCTGAAGCCTAACTGCCTGGGTTGAATCCCAATTCTACCATTTGCAAGCTCCGTAACTTATGGACAGTTCCACCCTCTCTGTACCACATAGTCTCCACTTCTGTAAAACTCAGAGTCCAAAATTACCTATCACATAGGATGGGAGTTCCTAGGTGATGCAAATAGTTAACCTGCTTGGCTCCTGATCAAAAGATTAGAAGTGCAAGCCCTTCAAGAGTCACCTCAGAAGAAAGGCCTGGCAATCTACTTCCAAAACAATCAGGCCTTGAAAATCCTATGGAGCACAGTTAAACTCTGACACACATGGGGCCACCAGGAGGGGTCAAACAACTCCATGGTAACTGGGTTTGTTTTGTGGGGTTTTTTTAAACTGGGTTTCTTAACTTATCGGGCAGCACTTGGAAGAATGACGAATAGAAACAAAATATTCCTTAAACGTTAGCTATTATTTTTTTACCATTACTTCCATTTACAATCCTCTCAACTCATACACTTTCTGTGTATTCCTGCCTCTTCTGTACATCAAGTCTACTGAGTGAGGCTCTGTCCCCACAGAGAGAAGCCTGAAAAAGCCCAGTCCCTCAGCCCTCAGCCTGGGCAAGTTAGTTCACTTCAGGACAAAAGAAATAAGCTGTCCATGTTAGACTTACATCCAGGCCCTGTGTTCCTAGTTTACAGCAACAGAGCTGACATTTAATCCTGTAGAGCTGCAATACGCTACTTTTCAGGCAATCTGAATTCAAAGTAGCATATAAGTAAGTGGCTCCCCTAAACTCTTAACACTGAAGGGTACTACTCATTCCTCTAAGAACATAAAAGTTCAGAAATCAAGGTGACAAGGATGTTTTTCAAATGGAAAGAGGGAGGAAGGCGACCCTGAGAAGCAAGCACATGTCGTTCACATGAGAAAGCAGAGTCCTCACATGGACACTAATTCTAGTCAAGGGAGATGAGACTCTCAAGACAGGAGCACTTTCGTATGAAGCCAACGTGCCCTTACATGTTGGTAATGACAAACTAAGAGTCAACAACTGAGATAAAAAGAGGATGAAAGGTTTTTCTCCAACAGTTTCAGTACTGAACCATATTTTTTTAAGATTAAAAGTTCTAGTCAGTTAGTGACTCGAGGCAACCCCTGGGGCAGATGTGGCCCTGTCTGGGCTGCCGGGCTCCCCAGCATTCTCGGTCACGCACTTACTACAGAATTCCGCGTACTCGGCTGGCAGGAGGAAGGTCTGAGGGAGGATGTGAAAAGCCTTGAATCCGTGTGTGTGCTGCATTCGAATGATGTTTTTGTACAGTCGGTCCTTCCGTGTTAGTTCATAAGACCTAATAAAATAAGAATATTTTCATTTCCACAGTCTATTATTCACAGGCTTTCTGATGACACAGTATTGCATGTTGCACTACTAACCAAAAGGTCAATCAGCAGTTTGAATCCAGTAGCTTCTCCGAAGGAGAAAGATGGGCATCTCCTCCCTCTAAGCTCTAAAGCTTTGAAACGACGGAAGGTCGGAACTGACTCATTGGCAATGGATTTGCTTGCCTAGAGCCCCAAATGCTTCATAGTAATTATGAGTTAATACATTTGTCTGATTTATTCATTAAGGTATAATTTATATACAAATTCACCCTGTCTAGTGTAAAATTCCATGAGTTTGAACTGACACATACAGTTCTGTCACCACCACCACAATCACGACACTGAGGTTACCCCATGTCCCTTTACAGCCAATCTTGCCATAGCAGAAGCTCCTGGCCAAAACTGGTCTCTTCTCTATCCCTAGAGTTTCACTTTTTCCAGAAAGTCAAACAGATCAAATTCCTGACTGAGCAGCCTTGGAGAACAGCTTCTTTCACTGAGTATAATGTATGTGACATTTATCATTCTTGATGCTATTAATCCATTTTATGGGCGTACCCAATTTATTTATTCATTCACAAACTGAAGGATTTCTGGATTGTGTCCAACTTTTAGAGATCCTGAATAAAGGTGCTAAAAGCATTCACACGCAGGTTTGTGTATGAACATCCGTCTTCACCTCTTTGAGTAAACATCAAGGCATGGGATTGCTGGATTGTTTGGCAACTTCTCTTAGTCATCTATTGCTACATAACAAGCTACTCCACCAGACAGCAGCTTTCATTAATACTTACCATCTTATACAGTTTGTATAGATCAGGGACATGGGAGGGAGACAGCTGGGCAGTTCTATCCTAGGGTCTCTTATGATGCTACAGTCATGTTGATCAGTGGTGCAGGTATCAGATGGGCGAAGGCTGGAGGATCCACCTCCCAGATGGTTCACTCATGGATGGCAAGTTGGAACTGGCTATTGGCAGGAAGCTTAGTGGGAACTTTTCCGTATCATTAAATGCCCTCGTGACCTAGCAGTCCTTTTCTCCTAAATGAAGTGAGTTAAGGCAGCAAGAAAGAATCTGCAACGGCCATTTATAGCCCAGTCTTGAGAGTAACACACTGCTGCACGGGGTTTTAACGCTGGTGTTATGAGGGCCACTAAGGGAGTTCAAGCCACCATCATTTTGGGTTTTTATGGTTGTTACCAAACGTATGCTTTTAAAGTTTAGGAGACTATAGTTCCAAATTTAAGGTATTGGCCCTAGGGGAAATGGTGATGCAGGAGGAAGTTCAAGCTGCTCTGAAGGAACTGGCAAAAAATGAGGCCTCAGGAACTGATGGAATATCAAATGATATATTTCAGCAAACAGACACTGCCCTGGATGTACTCACCAGGTTGTGCCAAGAAATCTGGAGGCCAACTACCTGGCTAACGGACAGGAAAAAAAATCCATATTTATTCCCATTCCAAAAGAAGGTGATCCCACAGAGTGTAGATATTAGCAAACAATAGAATATCACTAATATCATGTGAAAGCAAAATTCTACTGAAGATTATCCAAAAAGGACTGAACAGTACATTAACAGAGAACTATCAGAAATATAAGCAGGGTTTAGAAAAGGCTATGGCACTAGAGACATTATCACCAAAAGGTACCAGAGAAAAGTCTATCTGTGTTTCATTGACTATGCAAAGGCATTTTACTGTGTGGATCACAACAAATTGTGGGTAACCTTGAGAAGAATGGGAATCCCAGAACACTTAATTGTGCGCATGTGAAATTTATACTTGGACCAGGAAGCGGTCCTCAGAACTAAGCAAGGAAACACTGCATGGTTCAAAATCAGGAAAGGAGTGTGTCAGGGATGCATCTTGTCCTCACACATTTTCAATCTGTATGTGGAACACAGCATTTGGAAGGATGTACTTTATGAGCAGGAATGTGGCTGTGGCATGAGGATTGGTGGAAAACTCATCAATAATCTGCATTATGCAGATGACACAATCTTGCTTAATGAAACCAAGGAGGAATTGAAGCATTTGCTGCAAAAGGTCAAGGATCATAATCTTCAATACGGATTGAAGCTCAGCATCAAGAAGATTCTCACTAATGGGACAAATGGCAGCACCACGATGAATGGAGAAGAGATTGAGGTTACCAACAATTTCAGCTTGCTCGGCTCCACTACTTTCAACACTCTTGGCACCAGCAGTGAGGACATCAAAAGATGAACTGTACTGGGGAAGTCTGCTGTCAGGGACCAATCCAGAGTGCTAAGGAACAAAGATGTCCGTCTAGAGACTAAAGTGCGCCTGACCAGGCCACAGTCTTCACTATTACTTGTTATGCATCATAAAGCTGAATAATGACTAATGTTGATAGAAGAAAATTGATGCCTTTGAGTTGTGGTGCTGGAGAAGAGCATTGGACACACCATGGACCACAAAGAGAACAAACAGGTCTGTCTGTCTTGGAGAAGGTGAAACCAAGTTGCTCCTTAGAGGCAGATTTTGAAGCTCTGTCTCACATACTTTGGACATGTGACCAGGAGGGACAAGTTCTTGGAGAAGGGTATCATGCTTGGAAGGGTGGAGGGACAACGCAGAGAGGAAGAGCCCAGAAGAGATGGATTGACACAATAACTGGAGCAGTGGGATTAAGTGTGTGGTAGTCAGTGAGAATGGCTCAGGATAGGGCCGGGTTCAGAGCTACTGTACATAGGTTCGCTATGAGTTGCAGATGACTCAATGGCACAAAACAACAACAATATACCATCAAGTCAGAGCCCACCCATAGCTGACCCTCCAGTAGGTTTTCAGAAGCAGTAAACTACACAGGAAGAGACTGCCCATCCTTCTCCCTGAGAACAGTTGGTGGATTCAAACTGTGTGCCATCAAGTTTGCAGCGCAGCTCCTTACCATTAGGCCACTAGAGCTCCCTTAACACTCACTAAACACAAAAATTCTCATTTCATTCGAAAACACGGAAAAACTAAGTGAAAGAAGTCTTCCATGGCCATAAATTCTGAAATAACATGTAATCACTGACCAAATTAAAAACCATTTTCTTGGTTCGCATCTCTTCATTGCAGATGAGACTGCCTCCCTTTCTACTAGACCAGCCACACTAAGCTCAGCATCAATTCTGTTTTTCTTTTTATAGATATAAACATAAAGGAATCTTCTTCCCATATACAGTAAGTGGCAGGCACTATTCTGAGCCCTTGACATGTATTACATCTTCACAACAGTCCTATGAAGTAGGTGCAGTTAGCATCCTCCTTTTACCACTCATTCCCCAGCCAGAGCAGGGCACTCACTTGCCCAAGATCACGAAGCAGAGCTGGGATCTAGACTCAAGTGCGTTAGCTGCAGAATCTGCACTTGTCTCAGAAGGTAATAGCGGCCTATCTAGCCCTGTTACGAGGTGTCTACAATTCAAACAGCACAGGAGAGCTGCCTCATTGGGTTTTCTTGGCTGTGAACTTTTTGGTGTTTTTTAAATCTTTATCTAAGTTGATGTACCAGTTTTTTTCTCCAATGAAGCCACTGGGTAGGTTCAAATCACCAATCTCATGGTTAGCAGCTGAGCTCTACCGCCAGGGCTCTTACTGCCTATCCAGGCTCACAGATGTAACTGGACCATGATTTCTGTAACAGTGACACCCAATTCTTTCACTCCCTTACAAGTTTTATGTCAAAAATCCCAAAGTGAGCTCATTAAAAATGTTTTATTTTATCTTCCTTTAATTCTGTTAAAAGCAGAGGAATAAAAACTACTGTCACACAAAAACAATCTATCATGCTGTTACCAAAATTCTGTTACATGCCAATTTTTATTAAAGTTTGTCTGGATCCCACAAGAATTTTTAGGCCTATGGACAACAATGAGAGATTCCAGATAGGCCTTTCCTTTAATAAAAGAGAACAGTAACTGAAAAGTGAGATGAAAACAGTTCCTGGATCCAAACGAGGAGAATTCAGAATTCACTTAGATCCAGAACTTTCTCCTTTAAAATCATCCATGTCCACAGAAAGCCCTTGAAAAGTCTTCTTGTATCTCCATGGATGGAAGCACCTTGGTTGGACCTGTAGACTGTCGCTCTATATCACACTAGTTTTAAATGATATTCATTATCTCTGCGGGCTAACTCCTCCAATATCAGGTATCTTTAAACAGAGCAAAGCAGCTACAACATTACCTGGGAAAGTGGTTAACTTTTTGTGCTTCAGAGAGGGTGCGAAGTAAGAAAGGCTTCAGGTGGCATCCAGTCCACATGAGGTTATAGTCAGTGCTGTTCGGGTGAACCTGGGGGGAGATCAGAGGACACGTAAGGGAGAAGCATCAGAGACAGGCCCGTTTCAGGAAAAGCAAGTGCAGGGAAGGACAGGGTCATCCACAGAGCACTCTCAGTGTGGCCAAGCGAGTGGGGCAGCCTCAAGAGAAAAAAGTAGAGCATCAGAGAATGTGTGATAATCAAGCTGCAAAAGTAATCTGGGGGCCTGGTGGCAAGACGCTACACTGCACTCCTGCAGGCACACAGTTCAAGACTACTAGCTGTTCCACAGGAACGGGCAATCTCCCTCTGTGTGATTAACACCCTCAGAAACCGCCAGAAGGTCAGCTGTGGGTCGCTTCCAACTCTTCGGTCCACAACAACATAGGCAAAAGTAAAATAAACTCTCTTTATTTATAAGTCCATGATGCCAAATATTCCTACGTATCAAAGCATACATGGGCCCAAACTCAATTTCTTCTCTGCCCTATGTCCTGGGCATGATGACAAAAAGCACACACACCAGCTCCCCCACTGCATTCCGGTGGATTCAGATCGTGATCCTCATCCGGGATCTAAGGCTACGAATCTTTATGGGAGGAAACTGTCCATCTTTCTCCCTTGGAGCAGCCTGTGGATTCAAACTGCTGACCTCTCAGTTAACAGCACAGCACAAAACGCACCATGCCACCAGCGCTCCTGCATGCTGTATCGTAGAGTACTAATAAGAACAAAAGCCTTATGGTAGCTTTGTTCAATCACTAAAATTCACCATCTATTCACTCAACAATCGTGTACTTTGTCTATGAGGTGACTGGCACCACCCGTTAAACCTTGCAGATAAAACACTGACAAGGGAGGAAGCGAAGTGGGACCCAAACTTCCTCCAATTATTTATTTCACACCCTGACCTAGGAAAGGAGAAAGCCTAGCAGTCAACTGGCAACTAGCTGTCTCAAAAGACTTCTAGTGGAAATAAGCACAGTATTTCGACTGGTTCCTTTTGTAACAACATTCTCATTTAGGGGGAGAACAACTTAATTCTGGTTCTGAAGGACCTGCCAATAACCCACGCTGTCCTCCCGGAAGCTAAGCCATCATTCTACCTCCAGAATGAATCCTGAGCACAGGAAGGACAAGGACAATGAATGGAGATCATCACTCCGGGTCAGTCCTTGAGCAGACAGCCCTGGGAGTGCCCGATCTTAGACTTCCATCGTGTCCTGATCTTCTCCTGCCGACAGCCTTGCCTTTTCCGCTATCTCCTTCTGTCAACCACCCTGTCCATTAGCTTCCTACAAAAGTTTATTGGCTCAAGTGAGCCAGAGTCCACTGCTGCTGCCTGCAATTCAAGGACCCTTTCCTGGGGAAAGAAAATGTGGAAATGTTCTATCATGTATTGGAAGGAGACACTGATAGAGCTACTCAGAAACAGAATCTAAATTCTTATCACTTAGCATTGCTAAAGTCGGTTGAAGGACTAGGATTTCAGCCGTGGGGCAAATTAGGTGAGGCAGTAAAAGTGGGCTTACTTCGTGAAATCCATGCGCTGTCAGAATGCTGCGCACCAGGCGACTGTCCGTTCGTACAATCTTGTAAGACAAATGATAACGTTCTAAAGAGAAGCAGAGAATCAAGGTCAGTGCCCTGGCAGCTAACAATGGGGAGAAAAGGAAAATGCAAGACGCTGGCTTGCATAATTATACTCAAGAGCATTGTACTGCTGTGTATAATAAGAATGTATATACAAAGGTAGAAAAGATTTAGGAATAAGGATTCTGTTGTTGTTGTTGTTGTAATGTGCCATCGAGTTGCTTGTAACTCATAGCGACCCTATGTACAAAAGCCCTATATCCTGCTCTATCCTGTGCCAACCTCGCCGTCTCCAACACACTCCCGCCACCCCAATCACAGAATCGATCCATCTCATCAAGAGTCTTCCTCTCCTCTGCCGCCTCTCCACTCTCCCAAACATGATGTCCCTCTCCAAGGACCAGTCCCTCCTTGCAACATGCCCAAAGTATGTCAGACAAAGCTTCAGAATTTAGGGTTGTAAAGAGACCATAAATGGCACCCAAGTAGATATATGCATACCCATGTTTATTGTGGCTTTGTTTACAATAGCAAGGAGTTGGAAACAACCCAAATGCCCATCAACAAATGAATGGGTAGAGAAGCTGTGGTATATTCACACAATGGAATATTATGCTTCACTGAAAAACAAGGAACTCATGCAATATTATTCAAAATGGGTGACCCTGGAGAACATTATGCTGAGGTATCTCAGTCACAAAGGGACAAATGCTATATGGTGCCACTGTTGTAGAATGAGGCTGACATCGGGATGGGGATAAGACTGAGAAAAACTGGATGAAATATGTTTACGGCATTGAAGTCTTTGGGGGAAAGAATATTTTATATTTTAGGGCATTATGTTTATCATAAGAGTACGGAATGAAGTGGATTATACTTGGGGTTGGGGGATGTGTGTGGGGGATTGCGTACCAATGAGGGAGTTATTCTTTTGCGTTTGAAGGAGAGGAGCAAACGGGGGGGGGGGTTGGCAGAGGGGTGCAACAATGAATGAATGGAATTCCAAAATCTCTGTAGGTGTTCACTGAAATGAAAAAGAAATAAATTTTTAAAAAAAGAATTTAGGGTTGGTAAAGATGTTGTAAGGAGAGACCAGTCTATGCTTGGGAGGGTGGAGGGACGGCGCAGGAGAGGAAGGCCCTCTATGAGGTGGATTGATTCAGTGACTGAGATAATCGGGATGGGAGTGTCAGAGACAGTGCGATTGGCACAGGACAGAGCAGAGTTTAGGGCTGTTGTACACAGGGTCGCTATGAGTTGCAAGCGACTCGACAGCACATAACAACAACAAACATGAATAAGGGGGGGGGATTACATCTTTGTTTTAACTATTTCCAGTTGCAATTTAACATTACCTTCAATTCTGAATGTAGGAAAGAGCAGAGCAGTATCTGCAAGACCACGACCACCACCAAAAATAATAGGTACATCACTATCAATCGATACCAAATAGACGGGTACTTCAGTGTCAGCGGAAGACGTGTACAACAGTACAACTTGACAGTTGTTTCCGTTATTTCACAATATCACTTATTCCCACAGAATAAAAAATTTATGGAGATTAAAAGACCCTTCACCAGATTTTGCTATGAAGGTATTACTAAAAAAGCATATACTTCATGATTAAAAACATTTCAGTAACTGCAGTGTAATACAATTGGTTTCCTTTGTAACCATATATGATTCTACATACACTTAAAAATATGCTTCTAGGAAGAGGTCCACGGCTTTCCACAAACTACTGAGGGAACCCAATGAACAAAAAGGTTAAGATCCCCACTCACAAGAGTCTGCTGTGTGCAAGAATGCTGGTGGCTAGACGATTCTAGACTAGAGAATATAAACTGGTGACCCAAGAGCGAAATCTAGTTCGTTCAACACTCATGAGTTTCAAAAACAAAACTGATTTGGTTGCTAACCTTTTGAAAACTGGAAGAATGTAAGGGTGGTTTCTCTTGAAAAATCTGGTCAAACCTGGCTTCCCTTTCCTATAGCAAAAAAGAACAGGAGAGTTGCAGCTGCCCCCTCAGAACAGGTCCACACTGACCACATCAACACAGCCCCACTACATTTCTTGCCAGGTCCCTCAAAGCAGTTGCACTCGGGACCCCTGTCTGAGAAAGATGTGGCAGTCGGCTTTGATACAGATCACAGGCTTCAAAAGCCTGTGGTGCAGTGTGACTTGATGGGTCAGGTTGTGGATGAACTTGCTGTCTATGAGTCTCTAGCTTAATTGTTACAATGCAGCTGTTCCAGAGGTGGGACACACTGTCATTGCCTTCAGATGCGCTCTGCTGTGAGCATCTAAATAGTTGGGATTTCGGAGTGGGATTTCAGAGCTCAAGTGCCACTGAGCTCTGATTCAACAACCCTATGAAGCAAATCTAAGACAGTCTCTGTTCTAAAGAGTCACTCCCAGTTATAATCAATTTGACCGCAATTCCTAACATTTATTCTGGACCATAAAAATCCACTCTCTTCCTATGTGTTGGTAAAATCCACTTTAAAAAAAAAAAATCAAAGAAAAAAAAACAATGTTTCAAAAGGATTGTATCCTGAAACATTTCTGAATAAGTGTAATATAGAAATATATGGGCAGGCCTTAAAATAACATTCAGTCCTTACAGACAAAGGCAGGCATTTCTTGGGTTCCTGCCCTGAAATGAAAGCTTTCACACAAGTTCAAAGTGGCTGTGCGGTGTCAGGTTTGTTCACAATTCTCTGCTCCCTCTGTCTCCTTATTTGGTGGTTCCATTCTGTTTCTTCCTTTAGAGAGCGTTTGAACTACTTCTTTATCATTTCTTCTGCAGCTCAAGGTTCCAGAATCACCATCTGTCTCTGTTGTCTTTATTTTCAGATGTTGTTGCTGTAGAGGTTCTGTCTTCCTAGTTCAATACCTTGACAAAAACCAGGGCAAGCATTTCTCTACGAATTTATGTGAAAACAACTCTATGGCCCTGCTCCTACTTGCCCAATCCTGGCAGGACCAGCACACAAAGCAGACACAGGAAGAGCTGAAATGCCAAGGTCGGACACTCCATACTTCTTACTCTTGTGGCCAACCTTTAAAGTCCAGTTACAGGGTTTTCCCAATGATCAATCACTACTCTGTTGCTTTTGGGATACTTTCAAAAGACAAAGCACAGAGTCATACGTGCCGACTTCAGTCCAGGGTATAATATGAAATGTACTGCTTACGTGTTCTGCTCTTGGAGAAATGGCTGATTCCAAGTCATGGAGGAAAAGTACAACATGAACCTTGACTATGTTGCTGTGCCAAAAAAAGAAAGAGGTGTCCAACTGACGACACTGGAGTTTAAAGGGGCTCCTGATGGCCAAAGCTGAGACAATATGAACTCCTAAAAAAGAGATGGAATGTCGGTTCAAATCCACCAGATGCTCTGCCAGGAAAGGAGGGACAATCTCCTTCTGTACCAGTCAGATCTGATTTGACGGTACACTCACACAAAAATAATAAAATAAAATTTAAAAAAAGAGATGGAATGTAACAATTTTTTTAAAAATAACATAATCCCCGGTTCCACATCACAAAGGAAGTAAGAAGGTGTTGTGGTTGCCTCTTGCTGCTGTAATAAATCACTCCTCAATGGCAGTAGCCCTGGTGGTACACAGCTTAAACACTTGGCTGCTAATTAAAAGCCTGGTGGTTTGAACCAGTGAGTTAACTGTGACTCAGAATCACCGACCGCAGGACAGAGAACCGCCGCACAGGACCCCAGAGCTGTGCTCACTGTGGAAGTAGCCTGTCACGTCTTACCCTGTGACAACAGCAAGCCACTGAGTGGCTGGTGAGTTTGCACAGCTCTCCTCTGGCTAGCAGCCCTGTGTTTCAGCCACCGCACCACCAGAACTCCTTCGAAATGGGCACAGTGATGGCGTATTATTGTTGTTGTTATGTGCCGTCAAGTTGACTCTGACTCACAATTACCCTACATACAACAGCTCTGAACCTAGCTCTACCTTGAGCCAATTTCACTGCTCTGACACACCTCCCTCCATTACCCCCGTCACTGAGTCAATCCAGCTCATCGAAGGTTTTCCTCTCTTGTGCTGTCCCTCCACCCTTCCAAGCATGATGTCACTCTCAAGGACTGCCTCACAACATGCCCCAAATATGTGAGACAGAGCTTCAGAAGCCTTGCCTCTAAGGAGCAGCCTGTTTGTTCTCTTGGTAGTACATGGTATATTCAATACTCTTTTCCAGCACCACAACTCAAAGGCCTCACTTCTTCTGTCATCCTTAGTCATTGTCCAGGTCTCTGATTCACAGCAAGTAATTGTGAAGACAATGGCCTAGATCAGGCACACCTTAGTCTCCAGACTAACATCACTGCTTTTCAGTACTCTGGAAAGGTCTCTGACAGCAGATTTCCCCAATGTAATTTATGTTTTGATTTCCTGGCTGCTGGTACAAAGACTGTTGATTGTGGAGCCAAGCAAGCTGAAGCTGTTAACAATCTCAATCTCTCTGTCATCTACCATGAAGCTGCCAATTGGCCCAGTGTGAAAATACTTGTTTACATGATGTCGAATTTCAACCCATATTAAAGGCTACAGTCCTTGACCTTCTGTAGCAAAAGCTTCAGTCCCACTACAGTTTCAGCAAGCAAGGTTGAGTCATCTGCATAATATAGGCTGTTGATTAGCTTTTCTCCAATCTTGAAGCCACTTTCCTCCTCTCCGGTGTACACTTTTCCTGATTTTGAACCACACAGTGCTTCCTAGCTCTGTTCTGACGACTGACTCCTGGCCCAAGTTTAGATAACAGTTTTATCAATGCTAGATTTTCTGAATGTGATCATAATTATTTGTTGTTGTTGTTGTTGTTTAACATCGAGTCAGAACCGATCCAGAGCTGACCATTTAGTGGGTTTTCTAAGGCAGTTAATCACACTGGAAGAGACTGCCCATCTTTCTTTCACAGAGCAGCTGTGAACTGTAGGTTGATAGCACAGGTTCTTACCATTAACCCAAGTGGGTGAAGTATTTGAACTAGTTCTC